GCACCCCGTAGAGAGCCATGGATCGCACGACGCCCATGTAGAGGCAGCGAACTTCTTCTCGCAGTCCCCCAAGATTGGGCTGTAGGCGATGGAGCGCACCCGGAGGGAGTGCGGGGGGTAGCGGGTGAGCTGCATCGCTCCATCGATTGGGCACCAGTCGCTCGTAATGCTATATGTGACCCAAGTACTTCATGGACCGGCCCACCAGGACCTCAGCGTCACCCACCCAGAGGCGTGAGCTGGGTGGTTCCTAGCGCTTACGTAGGCCATGGAACCATATCGCCTCAGTTTCCTGAGGCGCTACCCTTAGGCCCAACTCACGAATCTTTCCCACGACACAAGCCAACCCTTGATCGGCGAGCTGAAGCACCTCCTCGAATTGAGCCCCTCTAGCTAGTATTAGTGTGTCGTCAGCATAGCAAACGACATTTAGGCCAGAGGGCAGACTAGTGCGAAGGACCGCATCGTATGCAAGGTTCCACAACAAAGAGCCCAAAACAGAGCCCTGGGGAACCCCGCACCTCCATTAGACTTTCCATTACGTTCATACGATCGGTAAATTTCACCGTCCTGTCGCGCAAGTCCCAATAACGACCCGCAAATAGAGTGGCACCACGTGATATTTAAGGGCCACCCTTATCGCCTGCCAGGGAAGGGTGCCGAACGCGTTGACGATATCAAGGCTAACCGCCAACGCAGAAGGAGAGTCTGCAGTCCTTGTTCCTTTTTGAGTTGCCAGTCCGATTGTGACGGAGGAATCAAGGGACTATCCTGGACCCTTGGGAAGAGCGTGTCTACCACTCCTCCCAGGAACTCCGGGTCCAATGTTTCTGTCAACGAAGGAACCAATGGTTAGAGCGTGCCCAATACCATTTTGTACGGGTGCCCCTAGTCCCCTGATGAGTTATTTCCAGGCCCCAGCCTTGGCCATCCAGCAGCTCCTATATTCCATCCTTCATATCCACATCTTGATCCAAGTATTTATTATCAGTTATATATAGTTTCATTTATTTCTTCCATCATGTCCTTGTTAATGTAATTATTGTGTATTAATCATCAATAACTTAATATATAATAATATGTTTTGTCTAATTTTTTACTCTTCCAAGTTAGGCAATATTGAAACATGGATTTAGGAAGAAACTATTATTTAAATATATATAGTATAACTGAACTATTACCATTACTCCACCACCAATCCTACAGTTTAAATTTACCAAGGTGGCAATTGATTTATTTTGCAATCTTATTTGACATTATGTCATAATAAATTCGTCACGTGGTTTCCAGAGGCTTATCAGTTTCATCATCAATCATCATCAACAGCTTTTAATAGTCCACTGCTGGGCATAGGCCTCTTCATAGAAAGGAGGTTTTTACGTCCTTATCAGTTTACGCAAAGTAAGTTAAAACGTAAAATTAAACTTAATATTAGTAATTTTCTTCTGTTTTCTGTGATCAGGAGAAAATTATAACATTTTTCGAAACATTTTCTGACACATGACCATAACATTACGTCGTGTAGACTTATAATATTTAATAAAGTATCGTAATGGGACAAAAACAACAAAAAAAATACTAGAAGTTATATATATATAGCACGATAGTAGTCCAATCTTAAGTTAAGATCATGATGTGTCTTCTCAGAACACTAAGAGGTCAAGCAACGAGTTAACCCATATGACGGTAACTAATTACTGTTAGTAGATACTGTTCCCTATTATTCTCTACTGATTTATAAATAGCAACGATAGAAGCTTAAAGTAATTGAAGATAATACATTGTTTCTTTAGAATATGGATTAGAGCAAATTCTATTTTTAGAGATTAATGAAAAATCTCAGAGCTATTAACCCTTTTACAAATTATAATACATGTACTCAATTTCAATTTTATATCTTCAAGTACTTCTTTAAATAGTAAGAAATAGTACATTCAATATTTGGACTACAGTACTGTACACAGTAATAATAACGATACTTTTTTTGTAACTGACAGTCATTTTGATTGAATTGTACTGAACTTGGTCACCGATGTCCTAATGAGCTTAACGACGCCTACGCGTTGCCCAGTAGTACGAGTTGCGGCAACTATCCGCACTTGGTATTCACAACGTAGTGTAAACAAAGGGTCGTATCCAATAAAATATAACCCAGATTGAGCCCTGCTTTATTCCCTCTGATAGAACTTTTGTAAAATTAACTCATAGATTCGTTGCTTATTTTTATATATTAAGCTCGAAATTGTTAATATTACCAAAAATTCAATCACTCTAGTGCAAATATTGTTTAGTAATATAAATTAATAACAGTACAAAATCTGTTGGAAATGATGAAATTTTGAAAAAAATGTTTATACGTTTTACATTTTTATCTGATACATAAAAACATAGTAATCATAAGAGTTGGGTACATATTTACTGTCTATATCCAAATAAGTTGTGTTATTTTTTAATCATAACGTTAACTTGTACAATTTATTTTGATGTTAAGCCAAAAAGACGTTTTTTTTAGATGAAAATGCCCAAGTACCGGCAACGGTTAAGAATGTTTTTATTAAGTCTTATTTTCATTGGAAGCTTATTTGCGTTATTATAACAAAACACTAAGAAAATTTAATAACATTTTGCAATATTATTTTTCAACATATCTGTTATAACGATTTCCCAGGTTAGGAAAGCTTTAGTGTTCTACACTAGAATCAAACCTGGTGTCGCATTTTTGGTTTCCCAACGGTCCTCTGTGTTGTTAATTGCCTTACTTAACTATCACCTTATGTTGTTACTATGACTTGCTTTGACTATGTACTAGAACACAATATCCTTACGTTAAATAGTAGATGCCTCATGGCCGAGACGAGATGAACCTAACATAATCTTTTCTTATTTCTATTAGAAATTTCGTGGAGGATTCATAATAATTTTTGCGATAAAAATTAACTAGAAATATCAATAATGGTAGTACAGTCGTACAGAAATGGTCGATAACTTTACACAAAAATTGGACCATTTACATATTTCTAGTTAATATATATTTAATAATTTATTTAATTCTTCCTTTTTATGTGCTAATGAATAAGCAATGAATATGTTCGAAAATAAATCACAGTCAGCCACACACAAGAATATTGAGTAACCGAGTGAGTGGCAGGAGTGCTTGATCAATACAACATACGTTAAATCAATTTCGGCATTTCCATACGCGAACGTTCTCGAAGTTTTAAAGTCACGCATCTTATTCAAAGAATGACTTTCAGAAGGGTGAGACTCTATTAAAATCGGTTCACTGGTTCCTGTGATTAGTATTGGCGTGCATACGGTATATCATACAATTTACATATTTATATACCCCGTCCGTTTTAATTTATATCATATACGAGTTTACAAAATTTGTTTACAATAAAGATGCCCCAAATTTCCATTTGCTTGTGCAAAACTAAACTCTTTTTTTTGCAATTATTATAGTTCTGCAAGCTCTAGTAGTCACTTGCCTGTCTATGAAAAAAAAGAACATTGAACGGTATGTAGTAGATACATGAAAATGACGACAGTTAATAAAGTTATTTTAATCGTGACGAAATTAGATATGAACTGACGTAAAAATTACTGTTTCAAAACTATGTCGTTTTCTTGTTAGTTGTAGCTAATGTCCTTATTCTACTACTCCAAAAAGTACGTAAGTATAGATTGAACAATCTGAGGCTCAGTCATCACTTACAACTTATAGCAAAGAAAGAAATAGTCTATTTTATTTTGTAAGTGTTAAAATCTGTTACGGACGTATTTAATAAAATACCCAAACTCCAATTTTGTGTATTGACACATATAAAAATGTAATTTCAATTGCTGTAAGGGAAAGTTAAAATATTGTCTAAGGTAACGTGATTTAAAAGATGACAACTTATAAGCTACAACGACAAACTAGAAATATTGTTAACACCGATTATGAACATAAAATACTGGTTTCTGGTTTCTATTTCTCAGCCTATTTTTATAATATGTACGAAATAAAATCCCTCCATTTGTTTCCGTTTCGTAAATGTATAAAACTATGTATTATATACATACTAATCTTAGATCAATCGTTTAAATTTTTGCATTGTTTATTTTTGTATGATACATATCATCATCATCATGGATAAAATATCATCATCATCTCAGCCGAAATATGTCCACTGCTGGACATAGGCCTCCCCTAATTTAATACAATACGACCTTCAAATCCTCAAGAAAAGAGCGTACTCCTTCCTAAAAAGCCGGCAACGCGTTTGTGACTACTGAGTTGCAGACGTTCATGGGTGGCGATGGTCACTTTCCATCAGATGAACCGACTGCTTGTCTGATCCCTCTTTTATAAAATAAAATAGGCATAGGATAGGCTAACACAATAAATAAATATAATAAAGAGTAGTAATAGGAAACTAAAAGTAAGGATGGAGCTATATATAATAACATAAGTGGGTATTTCTCATGAAATTTAAAAATTTGAGATATTATTGAAATTGTTTTAATTTTTATAAACATAGATCATTTTTTGCAGAGATCAAAAAAGTTGCTTTAAGAGATCTATTTAGGAGTATTGGTCTTCCATATTTTTTAATATAATCTCTAAAAAATGATGTTTAAAAAGAAAATAAAATGAGGGAATGATTAACAGAGTGAGGGAATGATTTATTAGTACATTATAATGAAAAACATGTACAGATAAAGGAAATGATGTAATTGTTATTATATTAAACAATAAAATATCATATTCTAAAGAACTCTAAAGAACTCTAAGCTTTGTACTTGTAGTCAATATAAATATATATAAACTCAAAAAATTAACAAATACACTATTATAGAGGTAACAAATGTTTTTATCTTCATACTTATCACTATTTATTTTTAAACTTTGTACTTAGCATTTCTGCAAAACTTAAAATGTCTTTATAATTATTTATATATTAATATGTAATTAGTCTTTTCTTGCATTAGTTTTTTTTGTCTTTGAGATCAATGAATTACTCAGTCTTCACATCACTTGTAGAGTTTTCTAACTCTGTAATAATGTAATTCCCCCTCTTAACTAATTTTGGTGTCTTTATTTTCTGAATCACATCTTCCCAGCTATATAATTGCTCATCTTTAATATTAGGCCATCTCCAAAACTTCAAACCTTGCTTCATGCACCTAACCATTAAACCATCTTCAAAAACAGATAAAACTTCCCCGGGATACTTTGCCGTACCCCATTTCATCAGGACATAATCTCCAATGGTAGCAATCTTATCACTATCTGAGCCAACAGTAGATCCCACATTTTCTAAATCAATTGTATCATTTTCCTTAAACAATCCAGTATGACCTTGAATGCGTGAACACGACGCTAAAGACAGTTGGTGATTATCGTTCATTATATCCAATTCCATTGACTTTTGCGGAGATTTGTTACGCCTCTTAGTAAATCGATTACTTTGGTGTTGTTGAAAATATCCCAAATGATAGTGGGTACAATCTTCTTCGCAATCTATGCATGAAAGTCTTCTGCACTGTAAGGTGTTGTTAAAAAATACGAACTGGCGTATTTTTTGTGTTCCCCGGAAAGTAGGAATAGTCCTGGACTGTTTTATGAGATTATCCATCAGTGAAATATCTGCTGTGGTAACGTCAAACAATAAAATAGAAGGACACCTGGATTGAAGGATAGGTTTCAATGAATTCAGGTCTACGATATCATGGCCTTCTGCCACGACTTTATCAGCTGTCCGTTTCAGGGTTCCACCGACACCGTCAGGCGCTCCCTTACCGTGCCCGGGTTCATACATTACATTCTTTAGGAGCGCATTTACTTTAGTTGCAGGCGCTTCTGGATCAGTTTTTTTGTGTTTTCAGTCTCAAATACCTCTTCTTGTATTTTTCGCTTAACTTCACCGCATTCTTCATTCTTTTTTCCAAAGTTACAATCTTTGCATACAAAATAGCTCGTCGCTTTCGCATCTGTCGTCTATTTCGAGCAGCTACATCTTCTCTAATTTGCTGCACAACTGATATTGGACTTAGTGGGGGTGTATCATCAAGTATTCTTTGTAAATTTCGGTGTGCTATAGCTTTTTTATTAATATATACTTTACTATTTTCTTTCCATTGTTTTCGCTTTTGTCTATGTTCTCTAGCATTCATATGAGTAACTGATTTTACCTGACCCTTCTCTTTTTTCTTTAAATATTTTAATCTTTCTTTTTCCCTCAGTTTTTCCAAAGATTCAGTATTTTTTTTCATTTTTTCTCGCCTTTTTCTATCATACTCTTTCTTTTTTAATTTTTTTTCTGCATCACTCAATTTCTTTGGTCGTGGCATTTTTCTTCCACATATATGTACCTGTTTCAAATTAAATACCATGAAATACAAATTACACGAAATAAATAAAAAATCTAAAATACTGTATAAATCATTCCCTCATACAGTCGTAATTCCCTCACTCCTAAATGCAGTGAGGGAATGACTGTGAGGGAATGACGAATTTTAACTAAAGCTATAAAAACACACACACATTACCTCAATTTGCTTGTTACATTTTGAATATGCATTTTACTCCCAAAAACTAATAATAATCACAAATTATAAACATATATACAAAAATGCTTAATACATACATGTAACGTGAGGTAATGATCGCCATAAATGTAACTCTTAACAATTTTTAACATGATATGTTTTTGCACAAACTTACCTACGGTTGAGAAGAAATCGGCATCTTGAATTATTTTAGAGTATTGCCAGGTACTAAAAACTTAAGGTTGCGTTCCTAAATATCGTTCGATACGTTCAGAAATCGAATATTCGTAATAGGGTGAGGGAATGATTTTATTTGGTGGGACATATTCAAAATCGAATTATCGTTTTGATAAATTCGTCGTTGTAAGATGAAAGCTTTTATAGACAATAACAAACATCTTTAAAATATATTAGCATAATTTCATTATTAAGAATATTGATATATTTGAGATGAATAGGCATTTTAGTAACGTTGTTGAACTAAGGGACAAGGTGGGGGAATGACTTTCACGGTAACAAAGTAGTCATATCTTTTTTTTCTTTAGAGGTAATACGTTTTCTTTTTAAACAATAGTGTTATAGACAGCGTGCATTAAAATAAAAAAAAGTCTTACTTAGTTAATGCATATGACTCGGTACTATTGACTCGGGAATCAAATTTCGAAATTTGATGAGAAATACCCAAGTATTAAATTACAATTTTAATTACTTTCTCCCAATGGCCCTCTTACAACCTCTATTTATCATTCTCTGTAATTACTATTGAGTCTCTTTGCCTCCAAAGCCGTTAAGGGGTTTTTTTCTACTTTGAGGCAGACTAATCATATAGAGAACCTTGTTCTTTAACGCATATATAATATACACATGTAAATATATAGCACCCGACTAAAGTAAAAAGTATTATCTTAATATATCCTTTTCAATTGCTGACACATATCCGAAATATTAGCATTCTGGCCACGTTACAAGGGTACATTGATCTGTAACAATTCAACGAGTATTGATCTTTGTGCTGACTTCAACGCCTCTAGCTTTCCTTTTCTTCAAATTATATTAAAACATTAATTTAAAAAATAAATAATAATGTGAGTTAAATGCATTTATAGAGAATACAGTAGTTAAAAAAATAGCGTATGAAATTTAATATAACGTGTAACTCATTTTGTCGTCCAAGTTCTAAGATGGATGAGGCCATCCACTATAAATTCGTTTCTTGATTAGTTACATTATACTATGTTTAGGTGTTTTAATTTGGGAGTGCGCTTGTTAAAGAATCAATCGATTAATCGATTGCTGTATAATTTATACGGCTAAATATTTAGTACCACCAATATAACTAATTTCTCATTCGCTATTACAATTCTGTAGCAGTGCGTTACGGTTATCTGCTTGCCTATTCTATTCATTCTAAGCGGCCGCGTGAACGCTTTTATGCGTGTGGTTGACTCGACTTGGCGCCACTCGCACTGTCATGTGTCGTCTATTTTGCTAGTGCTTGGATATATTTTAATATAATGTGTCAGTCATATTACTGGAATCGACTTCCTAATTTTATATACATTTTTTTAATAATACAGATGTGATGTGATATATATGTGTAAAATGTTCGTCTAGTAGGTTTTTAATTAGATGTTTTTGTTTGTTCTAGAAAAGAGTTTTTTTTTGAAATTATGTTAATTTTCTTACATAGTTCGTTTACTCGTAACTGTATTATCATCATCATCAACAGCCATTACTAGTCCCCTGCTGGACATAGGCCTCTCCTTAGAAAGGAGGGTATGGTCTACTATACCAATGCTGGCCAGACGGGTTGGTATAGAGTTTGTTTCAAGTTTTCCTTCTCTTTGCAGTGCTGTTGTCCTGCGTAACAGTATAGCTGTATATATTATTAGAAATAATATAGCCATATTAAGGCATTAAATTTCTTAATAACTTATAAATATTTTTACACTTTCCGTGCACAGTTTATTGAAAATAATAATATTTAAAATTTCCAACATCTGACATACACTGCCATCTAGTTTCAAACTAAGCAGAGCTGGTACTATGAAAGCTAGACTGACTGATAGAATACTATTATTATCTTTTCTAAATACATACATAATATAAATAGAAGACACCCAAACTCTGTTACAAATATTTGCAACATTTCATCATATTTTATAAGTAATTGTTATGGCTAAAAATATCGCCCTTTTTATTACTATATTCTGTACAATTTACCTTGAATTAATAAATAAAACAATAAATTGCACAGCAGTCGCTAATGCTACCGCTGATTCACTGAGGCAGTCGAATAATGATTATGAATAATATTATTATTTTGTTAATGTATGAGGATAGATGTTATGGTAATGTAGTTTATAGAAGTATTACAATCATTCTGTGTGTGTGTGTGTGTGTGTGGATCCGTGTGGTGACGGATTAAGAATACGGAATGTCACCACCGCTATTCATCCCGTGGGTGTCGTAAGAGCCGACTAATTGAGCAAACTACGCAGGATAACAGCACTGCAAAGAGAAGGAAAACTTGAAACAAACCCTATACCAACCCGTCTGGCCAGCGTGGTATAGTAGGCCAAAACCTCTTTTATAAGGAGAGGCTTATGTCCAGCAGTGGACTTTTATAGGCTGTTGATGTGACAATCATTTTTAACTTTTAAATTTTTCTCATTTGTATTGTAGCGCGGTCATTTCATAAATCACGACTTACTTACTACCGAATTCATTAATTAGACAGACTACAGTATGAACTGATTTATCTAAAATCAATAGGTGGTTTGCTGTAACTTGTGTCTTAGCGGAAGACGTAACTCTTAACAAAAGACCGTTACAATACATTACATTTGTCTGTATTTATACATCCATTTTATTAAATTAACAGTCAATTTATCAAACTATGGTGTTCAATAAAAATATGTTATACATTGTTGTAGAACACATAAATAAAAAATATCATCGTTAGTATTTCTGATTCATAGGAACAATAAATATTGTAACTATTGTTTCATTATTGGCGTTTAGTTCTTCTTTATAACCTATTTGTTTACTAAAGCCAAACAATATTTATAACCAGCAACGATATTCGAAAGTTAATAGTGCTTACAAAAGTTACATAATTTTACGAACAATAACATTATTGTTTTCTTTGTTACAATAAACTTTGTCAGTAATATTGTGCTTATGAACGTGTTTTTTTTTATAGATGAGGGAAAATGCTTTTTCTTTTCATATAGATTAAAGACTAGATGATATTTTTTTGCAATCTAAATTCTTGGTTGTTAGTAATTTAAGCTAAATTATAAGGAAGTACAAGAGCAAGCAAGCAAGAAATTCAGGTTGACAATTTATATACTGTATGAGCCACGATGAAAGATAAAAGAATATTATAACAGTAAGATATGTCTATCGAGTAGTGAAGTGATTTAAAACGGAAAACACAAGTGATATATTTAATTCAGTGAGTTTCATTTCATACAAAAACTAGGAGTGCTAGAGTCTAAGGTAAACTTTAGCTTTAGCTCCGGGACTTCCTTTGAATATTTTTAATAATAAAAGATATGCTAACGCCTCCGTTATTCTCCTCTGAAGATCAATAATCCCTAAGTCTTCATATTATACCCATGGGAAATGATATCGTTACATATAGTCGAGGCCGTACAATATTTCTTTTGTATATATTATTAATGTATTCCCTCTTATTTGAAATAAAATATCACAATATGAGTCACTTATTTCAATTAATGTATAAATTGCCGATGTTGGTCGAAGGAAACTATTGAAAGAGCAATAGGGAATGTCTGTATAAGTTGTTTATTTAGCTTACTACGAATAATTTCAGACAGCAGAATCGGGAACACTGACATTGCAATATTTAATACTATTACAATAATTTTAACATGCTAGAGAGTTTATTGAATAAACATATATGGCATACCTACTTATGCATTTTTAGTCCAAAATTAATAACCTAGTGATGCTAGTTAAATTATTAGTTATTTAATTATTGTTTGATTGAAATTTAACAGTTTAAAATAAATGAAATGATTTTAAATCTAAATATTTAATTATGTATTTACCATGTTTGATTAAGAACTCTGATGCTAAATGATTATGTGTTGGTCAATTCTGTTACTGTCATTTTCAGAATTTGCATATTTCATTTTACTTTACTTTTATATATTTAAATTTTACAAGAAAATAGACAATTCTACTATATTTCTAAACCTAATAATTTTCTCTACGTGTTTAAGTTCATATCAAACTTGATTATACTAGTACATGTTCTAGTTGAAATTGTTTTACAGACTATTTGAGAAAATGTTATGGAGTTTTTGTTATTCAACACGCATAGCAGACTTCTAAATAAGGTAAGTATTGTTTCAACTTGCCATGTATTGGTTTCAAGACGTAATTTACACACATTTGAAATATTAGAGTGGTAAATATAATTATAACAAAGCGACTCGAATCGTCGATAGCCCAAACATCTCCGATCGGCTTGATCATGATGTGGCTTCACTCTGCATTCTTTATCGCATATATCATGGAGAATGCTCCGAGGAATTGTTTGGACTAATACCGGCCGCAAGTTTCCGCCATCGCCCCACACTGCAAATTTTTTA